TTTCCCCCCAGGAAGTCCCAACTTTTTTTTTTTTTTTTTTTTTTGGGGGGGGGGGTTATAATCATGATTCAGGTCCCAGGGCAAAAGCCCACAAATAATACCTTTGCCACATTTTACTCAACGCGTGTTCGTTTATCTTCAAGGGGGGAAGTCACTCTGAATCAAAAACCACACAAGAGAAGCGATTCAACTTGCTCGTCAGTTACTTTCAAGCTCTGGAGTTCGGGAATTACAAGTCACCACAAAACCACTTGCGAGCAAGACCTGTCAGGAAAAGGAGCATAACTAAGATACAGCCTTCACAATTTCCAGCGTCGTTAATCAAATCGAGCCCCGAAGGGAATGTAGCTTCACATCATCCGGCTGTTCCTCTTGTTATGTGGACTCCTGCTGTCCTTGGTCCACATTCCGGTTGGGCCCAGCTTCTTCCTCGCCCTCCCAGATGCTTTGGGAGGCCATCGTTGGTAACTTCTTTTTTTTCTGTTTGTGTACATTTATCCAGTACTCCACTTTTGAAGACAGATTGACATACTAGATGGATCACTGCTGTTTATCTGAGTGACCTCAGACAAAACTGTACGTGTGTCTGGGCGGCGACACGGACGCTAACATATGAGATGAATTTGTATCTTGTTAAGTGTCATATAGCAGTTACTGTAAACACCATGTAGTAGTTAGTACGGCTATAATGTAGTAGTTATTGTAGCTAGTTAACAATTAAGATGTGAATATTGGTTAGCAGTCTGCCACTCGAGTTAAATTGATCTACCAACATGTTTTCAGAAATCATCTTGGAATTTACTTTCTGGACCTCGATTTGACACCTCTGTTCACTTTTCAAACGGAGTATTTGCTTTCTTAATCGTGTGCTGATTGATCAGTGGGTACTTAAAGGGTTTCAAACATTTTATTTGACACAATCCCATATCACATATCTTGTGAACCAACTTTATCTAAACCGCGTTACGATCATGAAACACAAATGTGACAACAATTGCTGTGAGGTACTGTACAGGAAGTAAAATTTACGCAGGATTAAAAAAAAAAAAGTGACAATTACATCTTCAAAACATTGGACAGAAAGAGTCTTAGCGAGGCTCCATCCACAGGCCCGTCACGCTTGATGGGCAGCTTCTCGTTGATGCTCCATCACGACGACCACAGCTGACAGCGGCGTGGAGAAGGCGCCAGCCAGGCTCTGCAGGCCGTACACCAGGCAGCGCCAGCTGAAGGTGCAGGCCTTCTTGACGTTCTGGCGAGCAGAACATACCCGAGCGGTGAGTCTTTTCAGTTTCACTGAAGTGTAATACTCGACTATATTTTCTCTAGTTGTGACATCGTGCACACTTGTATGTGTATTTCTTCCATTACTACACTGAAAAAAATGGTGTGTTAAATTTCCTTAACTCTATTTCATCGAATGGTTGCGCAAATTAAAGGAATCTGGATACAGATGCATTTTTTTAAAGAGGTCTATCCATCCATCCATCTTCTACCGCTTATCTGAGGTCGGTTTGCGGGGGCAGCAGCTTTAGCGGGGAAGCCCAGACTTCCCTCTCCCCAGCCACTTCTTCCAGCTCTTCCCGGGGGATCCCGAGGCGTTCCCAGGCCAGCTGGGTGACATAGTCTCTCCAGCGTGTCCTGGGTCGCCCTCGGGGTCTCCTCCCGGTGGGACATGCCCGGAACACCTCACCAGGGAGGCGTTCAGGAGGCATCCGAATAGGCTGCAAAAAAACTCACCTGGCTCCTCTCGACGTGGAGGAGAAGCGGCTCGACTCTGAGCCCCTCCTGGATGACCGAGCTTCTCACCTTATCTCTAAGGGAGAGCCCGGACACCCTGCGGAGAAAACTCATTTCGCCCGCTTGTATCCGGTTACAATGTACTGTAAAGAGGTCTACTTAAAAAAAAATATATTGCAATTATCGACATTTTTTTGCTAATTTTCGACGTGTTTCAGCAATGTGACCCATTAAAAACACACACACATTTCAGTATACACACATACACACACACACACACACACACACGCGAAAGGCTAGCGTTCACTGATTTACGTAGCAAAATACAGAGAATCCGTAACTTTTGACGGCTCTGCTACAGTGATCATTTTTCAATTCAAGAGTAGTATGAGAAATATTTTTCCAAGTTCACCATCGCTGTGTCATCGCAATTGCGCTGTAAAATTTAACGACAACTCATCGATTTAATCCACGTTAAATGATCAATTCTATCCTGTCTTGCTTATGTGATATTATCTCAGTGGTGCACATTATGACGCCAAACTAAAGTCACACAGCTATTTGTAAAAGCACTGTTAGTTATTTCATTGCCAGGGTATTTTTTTATTTTTATTTTTTTGCCAAATCCAACAGTGCCTAGCCCCGCTTAAAGCTCCACATTTTCTCCCACTGTACCCGCCGCACCAAAGGAATGACACTGAAGTACAGAGTGACGGCTTGATTGCGAACTAAAGGCATGCAGCCTATATTCATTCTTCCAAGATTAGCCTTATTGCTAAGAAAACAAATTCAGGACATTCCGGTAATTAATCACAACATCAAAAGTTGATCTTACTCTTACCCGAATGTACTTTTTCTTTCTCCTCTTCCTCTTCTCCTTCCTCCTCAGCTTTTCCTCTGGCGTCCTCTGGTTCCCTTCATCTTCGATCAAAGGTTCGTATTTATCTGGCAGTATGGCAAAATATACTTGCTTTGAGGTTTTCTGCTGCGCCTCCTCGGTTTCCATTGCCCGTCTTTGTGATCGAGTTGGTGTTTGTTGTCTTCCTCAACCGAGGACCTTTGGAACGGGGAGTCCAACTTTATGAGTAGCCCGAAGCTCAAACTCTATTGGATTTTAAATAAATGAAGGATTAGACAAAGAATGCACAAATGATTGTTTTTTTTCTCTCCCCCCCTCTGACCCGTAACTCTACATCCTCTCAGCTCATCTCGAAAACATTTGTCCTTTGTGCAAGAACTTCTCCGTGTTTGTTTTATAGAACAAACACAAAACTTGTCACTGAGTCAATAGGAGTATTATGGAGGTGATCTTGGAACCAGAACACTTCTTACTTCAGTGCGCTTCATTGGAAATAATCTGGTCAGATCTAAATGCCGCATTCCTCCTTGAGGGTCAGCAATTTGATTGCAAGTCAAAACAAATAGGCATCAGATTAAGATAACATTTTATGAGAAACAAATTCCTTCTGCTCGCGGCCAAAGATCCAGTGAAGTTTCACAAACACAACTCTTAAGAATGTACATGAAATTTGCGACGGATTTTCTGGAAACAATCGCGAGCGGTTTCCTTGTGAACCGACTGTCCATGTATGTGGGGGACCGTGACCCCATGCGGTCGTGGGAGGAGCTGCCTAGTGCACCTGTGCCAATAACATTGAAGTACAGTTTTGTTTTTACTTTGGAGTGACCGTTTGAACCACAACTTGGGCCTCTGGGAATCAGCACCTGCTGGGATTTGTTCTCTTCAGTTTGCTATCAGGTTTTGTTTTGTTTTGTTTTGTTTTGGCCTCATTGTTTTGACAAAGTCACCGGAAGGAAATCTGTTGCCAAGATTCAGTTTCTTCCAACCTCTGAACTCATTGTGGCGACAGTGACACGGAAGAACCCAGTATGTGCATTACGTCATTCAAATTTGTTTTTCAAACTTTAGTTTAGATCAGACAGAAATACAGGCGGCAAAGGTACCACAAATATCGCCTCGCCACGCCCCTCTCCAACCCTGCGATGCACAATTCATTTTTCAACATTGACAAACAGGACAGCGCACATATTTTGTCGTGATTCTTCGGATTGTTTTTTTCTGTCCTTTATACTTCTGATTATATTTGTGTGTGTGTGTGTGTGTGTGCGTGTGTGTGTGTGTGTGTGTGTCCAATGGCTTTTGGAATTTCAAAACATTTTGAGACATAAGCCCAGAAAAGTAAAACAATTTTGGTCGGAACTTTTCGCTGAACATTTGCATCTACACGTCGCGTCACGGTGACGGACAAAACGCGCAAGATCAAGAGCGACATCCACTCCTTGCCTAGGCACGTAAGAACCCGTTTAATTATATTAAATAGCCTCTCAAGAAATTACGGGTTTCTGCTGTTTGTGTAAAATACACTCGTTACAATATGTCTTAGTTTTCGCTCTCCGAGTTCAGCGATGCAAATGCTCGGCTACCAAAGTAGGAGTCGGCAAGGACACGTCAGTGACGTCATCTACCCGCGCCAAAGAAGAGTCAAGCCATTTGATCATTTATTTCATATCATTAACCACTGTTTCGAGGTCCATGTACAATTATTCCCAGCATAATAGATTTCTTGCTAATGCTCACGGCTTTCCATAGTGTATGCCATTTGGCGAACTGAATAAGATAAGAAAACCTTTATTAGTCTCGCAATGGAGTAGGGTAATTAACAGAAAGTTTCATTAAACACCCATGGGAAGTCAAGATGTGGTATTTGGGAAATTGTAAGCATTAATATCAACATCGTTTTGTCGTAAGGAGAGCTCTAAACAAACAAAAAAAAAGAATTTAAAACCCTACTCTGGACTGCTCATCAGTCACGGGGTGATTGCAAGGAGCATATTGAATGGGAATTGCCCTTGCCAGCTGCACAAATCAGCTATGTGAATCACTGCACTACAAACGGCTCACTTGTGTTCTCATTCCTGGCCGTTCTAGAGCGCAACATCATGCAGAGGTGATGGGCATTTTGTTACACATCAGAGGGACATTGCCTTACCTCAGAGGCTCCTCAGGGACGTGCATTTATAAAACAGTCCCTGGCGTGACTCGCACCTGCAGCACTCTGTTGACTGACAGCAGCAAGGAGGGGCTTGTCCTCTACTCCAAGTCCACCGACGTATATGAGAATCTTTCCCTGGAGGATTGGATCGAGGCCAACGTGGACCTGCAGCATCGCAACATCTTGTTGCTTTGGCGCAACAAGCCAGCCGTGGTCATCGGGCGACACCAGAATCCATGGAAGGAGTGCAACCTCTCGCTCATGAGGCGTACCGGAATATGTCTCGCCCGCAGGCGAAGTGGTGGAGGCACGGTCTTCCACGACCTCGGGAACCTGAACTTGACCTTCTTTGCTTCTAAGAAGGGGTATGACCGCCAGAGGAACCTGAAAGTCATCACCGAAGCCCTTAGACATCTGCGGCCCGGACTGGAGGTTGAAGCCACCAAGAGGTTCGACATTTTACTCAAGGGGCACTACAAAATCACAGGTAGGGTTGCAAAATTTGGTGAATTTTGAAAGCTGGAAACTTCCCATGGGAATTTGTGAAAGTTTGATACATGCGCCTGCTCGGGACACTCCGTCAGTTGAGTCAAGTAGACAAAAAATGGCATAGCAAGGATCGTAATGTCCTTGGATGTGGGAAAGAAGAGCCATCTTCAAATTTCCCTGAAACTTTAGGGGAAATATTCAACAGGTGTTGCTACCATTGACTGCCATGGATCGAGGTGTTACTTAGCCACGGTATCCTATTGTTGTTGACCCCAGGAAGTGCCTCAAGAATCAGCCGGAAGTCGTCCTACCATCATTGCACTCTGCTGCACTCGGCCGACCACGCCGCTCTCTCCCCCGTCTTGCACTCCTCCTGCCAGGGTGTCCACAGCAACGCCACGCCCAGTGTGCCTTCGCCTGTGGCCAACCTGGTCGACTATGAGCCCACATTGACGTGGGAGCTGCTACTTGAGGCGTTGGCAGAGAAGTACAGTGCAGGTGCAGTGGAACCTCGCTTCATGATGTTTGTTTCAAGACTCTTGTTTGCAAACTAAAATATTTTTTAATCAAGGATTTTTTTTTCCAATCGAAATGAATGAAAATGGAATTGCAGTCATCGCCCCTCCGTCATGAAAGCCACATAATTGAAATACCCGATTTATATACTCTCAAGGCATGTTTTTCTCGCGTTTAGGGCACTTTTTGATTTAAAGGTGTTCAAACATGGTTCTGAAACAATACAAACACATTTAAAAACACACATTGAGAGAGAGCAAGAGCAATGGATGACACAAAAATATTGCAATTTTTTCGGTCTATCCGACCCCTCATGTTAACAGTAAGCAAATCCCATTTCTCAAAACTAACAAAGTTATCCGACAATGCACATCAATAATCACGCCCAAAGATGTACGTTGTGAAATGAACCTCAAGTTGTCAATTTCCGTCGGCATAAAAAGCAGGATGGCGGTGAATGACATTTCAATCATTTTCAATTAAAACGGGGTCATGCTGAAATACTGGCTGTTTCGCTCTTCTTTCAATCTTTGGGGCAGCGTCACATGGTTAGGAGTGAAAGTTTGGATTGATGTGATCCTTCACCAGTTCTCTTTTTCTCCCGTCTTGCATGCCTCTCCAGAGTTTGGCGGCAGCGCCGCAATGAATTTGGTGGATCCCGCTGACGACTCTGCATTTCCCGGTCTCCGCAGCATGTTGGCAGAGCTGCAAGGATGGGAATGGGTCTTTGGAAGGACACCAAAGTTCAGCATCCAAACACTTTTGAAAATGACCGACGATCTCTCATCAGCCGGACGCGCAGTCCAGCTTTGTTTAGAAATCAAGCACGGAGTGATTGAGAGCTGTCGCTTAGACGTTCCCCCAGACTGGCTTCCGCAGCGTTTGAGCGGCGAGCTGAGCGACGTGCTGGAGGGAGAGCGATTTTGTCCACAACGCACCGCCGCGGCTTTTGCGATGCTGTTGCGTTGCGAGCGTGGCGAGAAGCAGAAGAAACTGCACAGACTTTGTGATGCCATATTGGCAGTCATGGGCTAAAAGAAACGCAACAGGTCATAGGGATGAACAATTTTTGGAGAAAAAAAAAATACCTCAGTATTGCGATTGCTATTTAACATGATTTGTTTTTTTCAAGGTCCTCTTCATGTTTTTTTTCAACAAACAAGCAATCAATACATCTGTATTACAATAAAAATATTCGATCAATTATACATAAAAGATTGGCCTTACACGTTTGGCTTTGGCTAAAATAAAGGCAAACGAAAGATGAATGAATATGACATTTTATCTACTTCAGTTAGTTGTTAACTGAAACACTTGCAGTCTATTATCTACAAGACGATATCAATAAATACAATAAGCATATATAAAAAAATAGAGCCTTCTGACTGACCAAAATTGGAGCAGAGTGTTCATTATAATTTTTTTAATTGCGGTCTTTGACATTTGACACACTGCAGAAAAGACGATTGTTAAATCACTGACAATCCATATTTGACTTCTAACCGTAAATGGCAACAAATGAGGACCCCTGCCAAATTTGAACGATTAAAAAAAAAAAAAGGAAATAAAATGAGACTTCGTCATGGTGAAAAATCAATCTGTTCTCTCCGCTTTTGAAACATTGTGGGCGTCCCACAACACCCGACGACTGAGAAAAATGGATGGTACTTTGTCTTTCACATGCATACACACAGCTACATGTTTGACGTGCAAAAATAGATCAATTTAAGCTCTCCGGTGGCTGGAAAACATCCCATAAAATCAACATACCGAGAGATTTCGGACAATTCTATCCTCACAGCTTGGTGGGAATAGTTTGGAGCTGGCTGCTTCCTTTCAATTTGCCAGCGAGTACTGGTTAGCCCCAAGAACAATATGAATAGTGCCAGGGACTGTTCTAAAAACTCACCAGTGATGGGAACCTGCGACTCACTAAGAGGAATTAAAACAGTAGAATATTAATTTTTAAAAATTCATTTCAACTTACCTCTGTATTTAATACCGTATTTTTTTTTAATTGCGTTCAATTTATTCAACCTAAGTCAAGACAGGTTAGTGAATACTTTTGGCAATTTAAGTGTGTGTGCCTCCTTGGGTCAATAAGCGTTCGGAAACACCACTTACATTTTTAAAATAATTGTGTTTTCACCAAAGACTGAGAGGAACTTAAGTCATGACGTGACATTGGACGCAGGCGCCCATGCGCATCAAAAACACACGACACAATATCTCACTTTGTACGTTTTCTAGGGACCAAACAACTTGTTTCGTTTGTTTCCCCCCCTTCATTTTATCGTACCACATCTTGCCGTGTAGGATCACGCTTACCACTGTATTAACTTGCACTCGACTCCTTGGTCCGTATCCATTTAAAATAACGCAATTCTCCGCTTCTTTCTCGTTTGATGACGAGGAAAAGCAAATGCCGAATGGCATCCTGTCCACGCAAATAATATGCGATCTTTGGTCGATGTGAGCCATCCGTGTGTGCTGTGCGTGGAGAAGCGGAGAAACTCGGCTTGAAGAATGGGGAAGAAACAGAAGAAATCCGGGGAGGACAGGTACAGAAAGCATCCGCGGGGGGTCGACGCAGGCTTTGCCCTCGCTGACACCCAGTGGCACTGAGCGCCACGACGAAAACGTGCGCGTTTGCGCCGCAGAGTTCCTCGGTTAGCTTTAGCAGCTAACGAAAGCTAACCACGAGTTGGCTGCGAGAGTGGAGGCAAGTACGAAGTACATTTGGAAATAGGGCATCTTAACAAATGTTGGCCATATAGCCAAGGTGGTCACGCTTTGTGCTCCTCGGCCGTTCACAGCCGGTCTCGGCGCTCTGCTTGTGCGTAGTGGCTGAAAGTCGGTCATGTTAGCCGGCTAGCATCCAGCTGGCTATCAAACGAAGCCAAGATTCCCCTAAAGATTACAGTGGCACCTTTATCTACGTGGCTAATTCATTACGTGGCCATTTTTTTACGTTTTTTTAATCACGAAAAATAGCACCGTTTGGTAAAATATAATCATTTAAACTTTAATGAAGTCTAAGTGCAAGCAAGGTGAAAGTCACACATTAGCAAATCAAATCAATTTGCCTGAACTATGAGAAGGGCACTGCCACCTACTGTAGTGGATGTGCAATTACACTGACTATGTGAAGTTGCCTGACACTGGCGCATCCAGATCAGGACAAATTTCATAAATGAAGAAAATGAAATCAACATGTTTTTATTCAATATTTTGCATTTTGTCCACTTAAATTGATCACTTATTAGTGATCTCTTTACGCCATTGCACATGTTAGGTTTTTTTTTTTTGTACGTCAAGTTCAATCCCTCCGTAAGAAATGGCTTGAACAAGGTACAAAGCCCAGAAAATGCCAAAAAGTCAGTTAGATTTTGCATGCTGTGGGAAAAACCCACAGCATGCAAAAAAAAAAAAAAAAAAAAAAAAAAATGGATTTACGCAGTAATATTTTCTTCATTGCTTAGATAACACAGCCGGAAGATGTAAATATGAGGTAGTCATTAAAACTTATTTATTTAACATGAGTTTGAATGGAATTGTTGAATTCTGAGCACAGCCACATCCATCCACGGTAACAGGTGGGTGTGAACACTTTTTTTTCTTCCCGTTCAGAAAATATTTTTGGACACAATGTTCCTGAATTCTATCGTTAGGAAGCTGTGAATACACCTGTTGCCATTCCTACAGCAGAATAATAGCTTGAACTAAACAGGCCCCAGATTTAACACTGAGTCGGTGAATTCTGCTCGGGATTTGGCGAGTCAGCAGGGCGCGCTCTTGTTCCGACGGTGGCACCGCAGAATGAGCGGGTTTATGTCCCTTTGCGTGTGTTTGTTTGACCGGCTGATTTTAACTCCCATCAGCGCTAAAGATGACGACATCGATGCTCTGGCGGCAGAGATCGAAGGAGCTGGTTCTTCAAAGGAGACAAAAGGAAAGAAAAAGAAAAAGGGAGCCAAGAAAGACGACTACGAGTATGTGACGCTGTCATTTCCCCGCATCTCGCCCCTTCTTCACTCAATCATCCCTAACATGTTTGTTCGCCGTTGCAGTGAGGATGACATCTTAAAGGAGCTGGAGGAATTATCCTTGGAGGCACATGGTGGACAGGGGAAGGTAACTCACTCTAAAGATGCTCATCACATTTTTCAGTAGGGTTGCAATACTGCGGGAATTTTAACAGTTGGAACCTACCCGTGGGAGTCTATGGGGGGAGACCAGGAATTTCTAAAATTGGCACTTGGCCTACGAATAGGGAACTTAACTAGAAAGTGGGATCCTTTTTTTTTTGTAACAGGAGTTTGCCCGCTCATTTTGTATGTTTGTTTTTTCATTGTGTCAGGTGCAGAGGTTTATTTTATGAGTAAGCTTTTTTTTTCTGCATCTTGCGTCTTAATGGTCATATGAGAGGGCCCGCATGGATACAGTTGACTTCGAAAAACGGTCTATCAGCCATGCGTGCCATTTAGTTACAGATAGTAAAAGGGGACCTTGGTATCGGCGACCGATGGGAGTACCCGATACATTGAAATCAGGCCTCTGATACCTGGCATCGGTACTCGCGCAGCCTGATAACCAAACCACAAAACTTGTCTTTGCATGCCTGTGAATGTTCCCCTTTATCCAGGTCATTTTATTCTCACCTGAAAACGTTGCCATACGAAAGTCTGCTGGCTTAGAGCTAACGCTTCGCGCAAGACGCCTTTGACAGGCTAACGCAGGCTAACTGGCATCAACGTTGCAGCAGTAGTTTCAAACTTTAAACAAATATTGGAACACACTGGTGTGGCAACAAATACATATAACAAACAATATTTTTAATATATATATATATATATATATTTTTTTTTTGTCTGAGTTGAGCAGATGATTGTGAATTTTTGAATAGGTTCAGTTAGAGAAGTAATATTGAATCCAACATTCATGAAATAATTAACTGTCCGGTTAAATACTTCAAACTTCATATACGGGAACACATTAATGTGTTGAAATGAAATGTCACGCTTTTCAATTGGACTGTTTGCGATGAATCTGGTCTTTATCCTGATACTTGTCGATGACAATGATATTTTTTCAGAATAGCCCGGCTGCATTTACCATGGGAATCATCCTTTGCAACCGCCTTTGTCACAGGACGCAAGTACGTCTTCGCTGAGCTGCCTCCAACTTTGTTTTTGTGCAGAAAGACGTCGTCGCTGTGGAAAATGATGTGGACCCTCCGAAAGCAGAGAAGAAGAAAACCAGGAAGGGGAAAGTGCAGGATGCCAGCCTCGAAGAAGTGGAGGGCAATCAACCTGAAGGTGCAAATGATGAGCTGAGGAACGGACAGCAGAAGAAGGTGGGACAGAAAACAAGCCACTACTCATTTGTCTTGATTAAAAAAAAAAAAAAAGAAAAAATGGAATAATTACTTTGGTTACAATTCTGATTGTCGTCGTTAAAACCTGCCTGTCGTTAATAATGTCAGTGTTGCATCTCAAGGTGGCGCCCGCTGCTCCATCCGAGTCTGACGAGGAGAGCGGCTCGCGTTCTCGTTTGAAGACCAAAGGAGGTAAGAAAGGCGCCAAGAGGCCTTCCGGTTCCGACGAAGACGACGACGATGACGAAGGCGCCGCCAGAAACGCGAAAGAGGCTGAATCCGAGGAAGATGAGGAAATCAGCTCTCGGAGGGACAAAAAAAACAAGAGCAAAGGGAAAGCCGCAAAGAGCGAGGACGAGGACGAACAGGAGGAGGACAGCAGCTTCAAGATGAAGACCGCCGCGCAAAAGAAGGCGGAGAAAAAGGAGCGGGAGAAGAAGAAGAAAGAGGAAGAGAGGCTCAAGCAAAAGAAGCTGAAGGAGAAGGAGACCGGCGCCGATGTCAAAAAAGAACCGGAGAAGACCGCTGCGGAGGCTCCGCCCCCGCAGGCGGTCCCCGTAGCAGATGCCGATGCGGACGAGCAGGAAGGAGCAGAGCCGGCTGGTGAGGGTAAGCTATCCGCCGCCGTGCTTGACTCCCGCGCGCAAAGAAAAAGTGAGCCGAGT